TCCAAAGGATTTGGTGTGCTGTCTGGGTATATATTAACTGAAACTCAAAAAGATATTTTTATAGAAATATTATTTTAAAAACTGAGGGAACAGAGCCGAAGTGTTTTGTTACTATCCGGCTTTGATTGGTCCGAATTTCATGATGGCTACCGTTGAATGATGTTATCATATTTTGTTGTTGCTAACTTTGAGATATAAATACATATTTTCTCTTTTTGATGTCAACGATCTTAAGAGTTTTTGCTTTTAAAATAAGTAAATATTATAGGACAAACAAACACCAAAATTGGCGTAATATATTCTGAACCCTGTACATAAAATATTTTTTTACTTTTAGATATGGTGTAAATGTATCACAAATTATAAAATAATTTAATTTGGTTTTTGTGAAGAGTAGGGCGTTTGACTGAACAGCTCGATATTATTTTTCGGCGGGTCCTTTTTGCCCACAAATCTCTGTTTTCTACCTGTGTAAGTAAAGGGGTGCGTTAATCTTACTGGTATTTTGCCCACAGTAGCATTCAGGTACCTAAACCCGCAAATTACATCCGCCCACAAATAGGTACCTACCTGATTATTAATAATTCTAATAGGTACTTACTTTGGGTGTTTACTGTTTATATTTCAGTCAGTTTTTATACGTTGATAATTGTAATTCGAGTGTTTATAAACAATAATTATTTCTATAATGTCAGCTACATTGATTAAAAGCACACGCGGGAAAGATGTACTCCTTTTGGAGAATTTTACGTTTGCCAAAGATAGAGAAATGAAAAGTGGAGAAGTTTCTTGGAGATGCTCCCAAAGAAAAACAAATGCTTGTAATGCCACTGTATTTACAATTGGTCCTGAACTTTTAGTATCCAGAGGCAACCTAATTCATAGCCATGAAGCAAATGAACCGAAATTAAACAGGAAAATTATTTCTAATTCGTGTAAGCGAAAAGCAGTTGATGATATTTCGGAAAAACCTTCTAAAATTATCCGTAAAGTAGTTGCTACTAATTTACCAGAGTCACTAACTACAATTGATGTGTCCTACATAAGAAAAACTATATACAACAGTCGTCGCAAAATACTACCAGGTCCATTACCTACAAATATACAAGAAGTGCATGATGCAGTTGACTTATATTCTAATACATTTAAAACCAGTAAAGGTGAACATTTTCTTTTAATAAATAGCAGAGAAAATAATATTATTGTATTTACATGTGAGACAAATATTCGTACTTTGTGTAAAATGAACGTCTTGTATATGGATGGAACATTTTCGTATTGTACAAAGTTTTTCCTACAATTATTTACCATTCATGGGCTGTGTAATGGACACTATGTGCCCCTGGTATATTGTTCATTACCAAACAAATCTACCGATATATACAAACATTTGTTTTCGTTATTGCATTATAAAATTTTGGAAACTTACAGTATTGCTTTAAATCCATCTAAAGTGTTCGTTGATTTTGAAATAGCAATTCATAAGGCGTTAATTTATATGTGGCCTAATACTGTAATCAATGGCTGCCGATTTCATCTACATCAAGCGTGGTATCGTAAAATTCAGTCTCTGAGATTAATGACTGAATATACAACTAACAGTGATACCGGAAAATGGCTTAAAACATCATTTGGGTTGACATATTTAAACGCCGATGAAGTTGGAGACTGTTTTGTGTTTGACTTAATGGCAAGTAAACCAGAAAATGCCGTTCTCGATAGGTATGCCGATTACCTATTAGAAACATATATTGAAGAAAATTCTACATTTCATCCAAGTATATGGGCAGAAAAAACAGCTTCAATTACAAGAACTACAAATGCCTGTGAGTCGTTTCAGTCAAGGTTTAATTCTTCATTCTACTGTACACATCCTTCTGTATATATTTTTATAGAAAAGCTTAAAGACTTTCAAATCGACACGTATGTCACAATACAAAGCTTAAGTATACCTAAGAAAATCAAAGACAAAAGTGTAAAACAAAAAATTCAGTGTTTAGAAAAATTTATACAGCGATTTGATCTGCAGCAAATCAGCAGATTAGAGTATATAAAATTTGTATCACATTTATCCCTCCCAGTTGAAAAATATGTAAATAAAATATAAATATATAAAAAATATAATATAACTTATGTATACTTACTTTTTTATAATAATAAAAATTAGTGTTTAATATAATTTTTAGTTTAATTAATAATGTGTTTTTACTTTTCGATAATATATAAAAAATAATAAATGAAAGATATATCTATTATGATTTATTCAGTTAGAAATAAATTTGGGCAAAATACCAACAGGATTAAGATGACCTTTTACTTGCTGTGGGCAAATTACCTATAGGATTAGCAGCTTTAAATATTTTGTGGGCAAATTACCTCCGCCCTTATTTTTTACAACGTAGGCATAAGAAATGTATTTAAAATGATCGGTTATTATTTTTTGGTAACTTAATTGTTCCCAGCACTACAAATAAATTAGCCACAAAAGACCTGCAAATAAATATAGGTATTATAGCGTTTTAACAGTACCTAGATTAAAATCAAAAATATCAAAGAAAATACTTTTAGAATAAATAGCGGCTTCGTAGAAACATCTTACTATTGATGTTATTTGACTTTTTGGGGGTAATTATTTTTGTTTTTTATTTTTTAATTTTTGAATAGCTTCTAATATGTAATCAGGTTTTCTTAATGACATTCCTCGATTATGCCTTGGATCTACCAATTCTGGCAACATACATTTTATATAAAACTTTTTTAACTTCTTCATATTTTTACATATTATATATTCCACTTTAAGTGGATAATTGAGACCTGTCCATACACCAAACATACATCCTTTTCATCCTGTAATATGTAATTGGCCTTGTATTTGATAATACCATTGATGGTGGATATTAATGTCAAAATTATTGGTGTCTTATTAAAAATCCAAAAGGGTATCTTTTTCAATTTAATTGCCTCTTCTATCTGCATTTGATATGCAGCGTATGGACATTTTATTTCAACCACTAATTCATCTCCTACAATGCCGTCTGGAGTAGCACCTACAAATTTAAAAATAATTATTTTGTTTTAAAATGAACTAATTTGCAATATGTTATAGTTGAGATGTGAGTAAAAATGTGAACTGATAGTTACGTACCTAAATATGGGTATTTTTTGTCAATAAAAATTCCACAATCTCTAATCACTATATTTTCCTGCTCTTGAAGCTGCAAAAGTGCAGTTTTTTCATACTTTTGCTATGGGAAATAGGAGTAGCATTGACTGGTGGTTGGTAAATAATCCTTTTGACTAAAGGCTCACATAAAGTAGTTGGATCTATAAGATCCTTTAGACCAACACACATCAGCTACAACAGTGATTAGGGGTATTCCATTTTTGTCTACAGCGTCAATTTCTTTTGCATAATCCGCCTGTTCTTCTGCTGCTAATTCCATTTGCTTGTATGCTGTCTCTTACCATGCGTCACAAACTTGAGTATGACATTTATTATATTTTTTTTTGTGACATAAATTGTAAATTTAGCACATTAAATAATTCTTCCCTATTCCAAAATCCTATACCAATACATATTGCTCCTTGAACAGCGTCAATGTCTATATCGGATTTAGTTGTTTTAATTTAAAAATCACCATTACACATCGTACAGTGGAATTTTAGAGTACAATTTAAACCATTTTTTATTTGCCCATACAGTATTAAACTATTTACTGGACAACCAAATTGTGGTGCATGATTATTTAGGGCCATTAGTTGTTGTATGAAGAACTGAGTATCAACAATAAGACGATTTTCTACGTTTATTTTGGTGTACATATTTTTTTCAAAAGGTCTTTTTCTGCCTAAAATTTGATCTGTTTTTAAATTCACAATTACCTGTTTGTTATCGTGTGCCTAAAAATAATAATCTTTAATAAGAAATTTATTAATTATCCAATGTATAAAATATGTTGAATGATATAATATTTAATAGTTTTACCTTCGAATTGGAGTCCAATATATTTTAGAGATTTCTAAAAGGTATTTTTCGAGATTCGCCTTAAAATAGCATAAAAATAATTACTGAATATGTGATATTTATAATAAAAAAAGGTCTTTTGAAATTCGATGTACTTAAAAAAATGAGACTACCGAGTTGTACCTCGCTTATCTGACTAACGGGTCTATTCTGTAAAAATTTGGTTAAAATTAACACTGGGTTATAAAAATAACTTATCGCACTATATCAAATTCACAAATAACTTTCTCTTTTAGGCTCAAAATTTTACTAAATACGTTTAATTCTTCAATTCACCGGTATAACTAAATAAATCGCCGATCCATTTCCTATTTTAATAATAATAATAATAATAATATAATTTATTCTCAAAAATAGAAGTACATGTTAATATAGTAAATTAGAATAAATTATTATGCTCGATAAGCGATTTAACACTTGTTTCGAAAATAATTTAGAATAAAAAATACATACAATATACAATATAGTAAATCTAAATACAAATATATACTAGACAATAATTAAAATTAAATGACTATATTTTTAAATAACATAATATGCATAAAAATACATTGTGAATAAACATTTCATACAATTTTTATATATTGAACAAACAATACACAATAAATAACTTCACTAAGAGACAAATTTAAAGATAAATTAAAAAATAAATGATAGGGGAAATATGGCTCGACGACCCGTTCTTGAAATTTTGAAGGTAGGGGTATAATAGGAGTAATATGCCGACAAATTAGTTCTCATGAACGGAGCAATAACTCTTAAAGCGTAACATACGGCTAATAGTCCGTCCCTGGGTCGCCGTTAAACTCGTTTTTATACGATATCCTTTGTATTGCCGAAAAAGAAAGAATATCTTTACCTCCTATTATACTGATAAAATTTTTATATATGTATAATGATATTTTATCATAATGCAAACAGTTTTTTTGGTATATAGATGTCGGATTTAAAATTGAAATAATACACACAGAGCCTAATGGCATTATTTTTTATTTTTGGAATATACGCGAGTTTCGGTGTTTGTGTTGAATCTTACAAAATTTTGGGAATATGTGCGCCACCTGCTTACAGCCATTTTACTTTAGGTTTTCGTCTAATGAAGGAACTAGCCGACAGAGGTCATGAAGTGTCTTTTGTCAGCAGTCATCCTCAGGATACCCCGATTAAAAATTTGAGAGATATATCCGTGAAGGAAATTGCAGAACCTGTATCTAGTAAGTAGATTTATTACTAATGTGTGAATTTTTTGAAAAATCATTTAAATTGACTTTGTAACAAAAGTTCCATGGATTTGCCAATATACCGGGCGACAATTTACATGTATTACTATTTCGTAAACCGTTGGTGATACAGAATCGGTTAAGGACGAATTTACGCCATACACATTTAACAGGAGGTGTCGGTAATGTCGGTTTCTACTGACTAGAATTAGTGCAAATAAGTTACAGAAATCTTTAACTATAAATATTGATGAAGAGATAAAATAGAACAAAAAATCTGTTTTGCTTGAATAAAAAAAAGTCGGGGGTTATGGTAGCGAGCTAATCGTTTTATAAGCTGTTTATAAAATTCTGAAAATAATTCTAAATCCTATTTTGGAGCATTTGGAATACTTTATTTTAATATTGTTTTATAATAATAATAATAATAATAATAATAATAATAATAATAAATGCTTTTATTGGCCAAACTAAGTACCTGATACAAAGAAAGAAAAAAAAATATAAATACAAATAGTTTGCCAAATGGCAGAGTTCAAAATCTCTGATAAAAATCAGAGTTTTGCTCTTCCACTCAACCAGTATATTATTACATTATTTTCTTTAACGAAAATCGACTTATTAGCGTAATAAGACAATTAGCCTCCTCCTCTGCCTAAAAATCCTAAAGTACCTAAATAGTTTAAATACATTTTAATCATTAATTAAAATAATAATGATAATATTGATTTTTATATGTAGTTCACGGGATTTTTTGGTGTCACATCAAATGGTTTAAATAGGTAGTATAAATATACCTATAGGTAATGACGCACATAGTACATAAACAATTAGTGTATTACCTACATGTTTTAAAATAATTGTTTATTTTGATTTGATAAGATTGTGAAGGCGTTAAAACAAAATAAGCTCACGATGGGCTCCCCGTGTCATTGACCCTGTGTCATTGCCTCGAACTGCCATATGAGACTGACTAGACCAGTGTTGCCAGATTCTTTATACCAATTTTCTTTAATTTAACCTCAAAAATTCTTCATGTTTCTGCAGAGATGTAAAACGTCATTTCGTCATTAGAAAGGTAGGGGAGAGCGGGGCAAGACGGGGTATTTAAGGTTTGATTGATAATATTTCATACAGGATAAGTTCAATAAATTTACAAAATTAGGAAACACATTGTTATATATTTGTTTGTTATGTATTAAAATTAAAAAAACATACAATAAAAAATGAAAGAGTAAACAAAGTTGAAACAGGGGCATGTCAAAAACTTCATCTTGCCCCACATGTGGGGTAAGATGGGAAATGATGCGAGGCAAGATGGTATCTATTCACATAGGGAACAAATATGGGTCACTTCATCATCCTCATCCTCTTCGCCCGCACAGGAACAATGGGCCCATCTGTGACATCTGATACAAAGGATCCACCCTTCGGTCGATTCCGAGTAAAGATGGCCACAGTACAAACACTCTGCATCAGAAGATTCAGAGGATGATACTGATGGCCTTTTTTTGATCCCAGTCTTTTTCGGTTTAAAATTTTCTTTAGAACCAATTGTTTTTTTTTGTATTTTCTTGCCCTTCGCATTATTTTTGTTTTCTAATTTTCTCTTAACATTTTCTTTCTTCTGTAGCTCTTTATTTTGTCTCTCAGCAATTTCCTTTTCTAGTTCCTGTTTATACGGCGATTCCGTTAGAACAGCGGTCTTGCCTTTTTTTCGGGTAACCCTAGGAGTCGTTTGCTTGCAGGAAGGAACCGGCATAATATCTTCCGGTGTGCATGGTAAATGCGAAAGATTAGTTTGTTTTGGAGTTATAAATTCGAAGGAAGTAGCAGGCTTAGTTAAACCTTGAAAGTCTATTTTAAAAGTGGAATTAGACGAACAGGAAGCCTGGATACTTGGAGCATCAGAACTAACTATTGGTTGATCTGTAGGTCTAGAAGGGCGCGGAGGAATAACCGGATTCGACAAGTTCGTGGAAAGTTCAGACGTATTCATTTGACTATCAGGTATGGAGTTATTAGAAAGAACAATTTCTGTGGTCTGTGATGGAGCGAAATCTGCTTCTTCAAAAACATTTCTATTAAGTGGCCATACTCCAGTCTGACGAAATCCATTAATTGCCGTAAGCATTGTAGCTGCTCGCAAGAAAGCATTTCCGAACAAGCTTGCAATTTGATACTACGAAACAACCCTTCCTTGGTTTGTTCTCAGCCACTGAGATATTTCTGTATCACAGAAAACACTCACAGGCCGCATAAATGAAACGTCCAGTGGCTGCAAACGATGTGAACAATGTGGAGAGAAACATAATAAAATGACACCATTTTCTCGTGCGTAGTTGATCAACTCTATATTTTTTGTATGAGTGGAGTGGCCATCTAGTAGCAGAAGTACAGGTGACGTTTTTGAAGCTTTGCTAAATTGAACGAACTTTTTAAACCATGCAAAAAATATCTCTTTTTGCATCCATCCACTTGGGTGAGTCTCAGCCCATGCACCAGGAGAACAGCCATTCAATAACTCTGGATTCATTTTAGAACGTGGGAAAATAAACATTGGTGGCATGTAGGTACCTGCAGCGTTAAAACATATCTCAATTGTGATAGTTTTACCTCTCTCAGCAGAAGTCAGTGCTCCAACTTGCTTTCTTCCTTTTAACGAAATAATTTTTGACTTAGTTTTGGGAACAACTGATACGCCAGTTTCATCGCAGTTGTATATTCTTTCTGGAGTTAATTTATATTTATCTACTAATCGAGTTAGAAGATCAAAAAAATTGTTAACAACTGTAGGATTAAATCCTGCTGCTCTTGCGACGCATAAAACCTGAGAGCCAATCTTTCCCTGCAGTTCGTTTTTCAGTTGCGAATACATGGGCTTTATTGAGCCTTTCAGCCCACTGGAAAGCTAATACTCGTAGGTCGTAAGGAGTAAGGCCAAAAAATCTCTCCTCCATTTTTAAGAGAAATTTTACTAGCAAATTTTCCTCTTCTGAACTAAAAACTGGCTTTTTTGGACCTAAACTGGGTTTAAGTTGCTCAGTTCCAATATCTGGATTTTCTCTAGCTATTTTAACTTTTCTCTCCAAAGTTGATTGAGGCACACCGTACGATTCAGCTGCCCTTTTATATCCCATTTCCTCATTCAACACAGCTGTAACGGCATGTTCCATCCCTTCAACAGACCAATTTCCACGGTCAGACTTTCGTTTATACTTTCTCACCTTGATCTTAAAACGAAAATAATTATAAATATAATTTTACTCTGGCAATTTAAACAACAAAGATGACTTTCTATATACCAAGTAGTACCCCTTTTTGCCCCTCAAAAACAAAACCATCTTGCCCCTTCGCGCCATTTTGCAAAAATTTCTAATTACTGCGATTCTGGTTTATAAAAAATAAAAACTAATTATACGTAACTAACTGCAAATACATCCCACATACATCAGTAAATATTTAAAAAATGTAAAAATAATGTCTACTTACTTATCACAGTTTAAACTTGACCACTATAAAAATGTAACGTATGAAATCACAGATTATTTGGAGATAACTTTACACAACTGCTTCGTCGCAATTCCACGGCATACTAAACTTTCAACCCGTGGTTACAGACCTTGACAGCGCATTTTGTTGTTGTTTTCCGTTCGATCGACTGCCCCCACTCGCTACAATTAGTGGTACCCCATCTTACCTCACTACCCCCGTCTTGCCCCGCTCTCCCCTACATAAAAAACGTTATGAGTTCTGAGACGTGGTGTTCTGTGGTTCTGAATTAGGTAGGTTAGGAACAGAAAGGATGGTTAGGTAAAAAAATAATTTTGAAAGGCAAGTATCTTTAATGGTAAACAAATAAAATATTTAAAAATAAAGAACAGGAATTAGTTACTTCACAGGCACATCAAAAAATTGTAAACTACACCAACATTTACGAATATAAATTGTTTGATTTCATTAAGTTTAAATGTTTTTGAAAGTAAAACTTTAGTATGTTGGTACATAATATACTATATTTATATATCTAATTTTTATTATTACACTGAATGTGACATGGCTTTTTTGTTTGCCTTTTTTGGATTAACAAAATACTATTTTAATGATTTAAAATAAACTACCAGTAATAATAAGTATCTGTACTTAAATATTTTTTACTAAATAGTAGAAAAACATATATATTTTGTTGGTATCACCCTCTAGACGAAAAAGCTTTCAACGTATTTCTATTTTTATTGTAATAAAAATAAATGTTCCTGTAGGCAAAAATTAAATATATTGTTCTCTTCTAGCATTTTCTAACATTTCTATTTCTTTTCGTTTCTTAACTTAGATTTTTTCAAAAGAGACTGATTTATATTTTTAAAGTGACTCCAGAGAGGTACGGGTTTAGCCTTTACCTGTACTTACATAAAATTTCTTTTAGTAAAATTAAAAAATAATCCGTTAAATTGCATATAATGTTAATTTAGTATTACAAAAATAAATTACGTAAAAAATGGGGTATACAAATACGTAAAATTTATTCATGCCTCGTAAAACATCATTAAAATATATTATAAATTGTTTTCATTCACAAATATTAATTTCTTAAAAATCTAACATAGGCGCCACTTTTCAGACGAAAAATCTTGCAATGTAAGGGTTTCGTAGTACCCCACATTTAAAGTTTATTTTCGACTATTTTTAAAAGAAAAAAATATGTACGTGTAGGTAAAGGTTAAATCTATGCTATTCTGGAACCACTTTTTTTTTTATAAAAAACTGAATCAAATTTTAAAAAAGTGTCATCAGAGGAGCACAGGTTTAATCTTTACATACACGCACATATTTTTTTCTTTCAGAAAAAATCAAAAATAAACTTTAAAAGTGGGGTACTACGAAACCCTTGCATGTTCCGCTCTACAGCCAAGTAAATACTCCTCGGTATATACATTTTTATTTGATTATTCATGACCCGTCACCTAGATTTATTTAAAAAACTACAAATTCGTGATTTATCTCTGACTGTTTCATTTCATTATTTTTACAAAATATATTTTTAAAACGAGTATTATGTATTTTATCTTATAAAATATTTTTTTATTTGGCAACCTGACTAGATAAAGTTGTTTATTAACAGATAACAAATGCCTAAGAAACTTTTTATTGTTTGTTACAAGTAAATTTAAAACAGAAAGTTTTATTTTGGTTATACAAATATTTGTAAAAAAAAATTTACAGCAGTTAGTACGTGTGTTTATTTATTTAAATAATAATAAAAAGGGTAATTTTTTTATACATTTTTAAGCGAGAGTTTATTATGATTGTGAGCAGTATTCTTGAAATATTTTGATATTTTATCTATATTGCTCTGTATTTTTAGTTTGATTTTTGATTTGTTTTCTAATTCACAAAAACTCTACTCATCTTTCAAAACGTTTCGGACAATATGCAATATTTCTATAATCTGAATAAATCACATCATAGATAAAGATTAAACTTGGGTCGTCTTACTATTTATTTTTCTCGTTTGATTAAAATCAAGGATAAAATAGTGATTTTGTAACTTACAACTTTTAGGTTTACTAATAAAAATTAGTTTTTTAAAAATATTAAAAACTTTACAAAAAGCGGAACTTTATTTTAGGTCTTAATGATACAAAAGTTAAAATGTAAAAGCTAGAAAATGCCGTCAACGAACTAGTTTTGTTGTCGCTAGATCTTGGTGGGGCCTTATCTTGTGTTTCCTATGTTTGTGTTATCATAACTCTTCCACTCTTAGAGGAGAATCCGGGGGCTGGCCTCTGGATTTTCTTCCTTGGAGCTCTTCTTCGATGAATTCTTCCTATATTTTCTATGTGAATAAATGCCAAATAACAAGCAAAGCGCAATAAAAATATATAGTCCAAACAATGATATTGTTAAAATGGATTGGATTATCAAAAATATGTTTTACTTTTTGTTTTTGAAAACTTAGAAAGTCATTTAGAGTGGTTAATTGTTCCAAATCAATACTGTTCAATTTTATGGGTTTAAGGTAAATAGGATTTTTATCATTAGAATTTTTAATATTAACTTTAAGATGTTTTATTATTTTAAATTCACTTTTTGACAGTTCATTGCTACGTAAAACTATTTTACCTATTCTAACACTACACTTATTGATTAATCCTAACAAAAATGTTCCTTCTAATGGGACATTGTCACTGTCTTGTCCGCAGATTCTTTGGGCCACTGTGTTTTAAGGTGAGATGATCATCCATTTATTTTGATGAATTTTTTTGAAGTTTTAAGTCCACAATGTCGAGAGCTATGGTTTGGCAGTTGGTGAGGTTCTCTTGGAAAACCTCAACAATGAAACTTCGCAGGGGGCGTTTTCTTCTACTGGAATTGGTACCACATACTTTGATTACTATATGGGGCAAGAGAGAGGTCCGACACGCCCTACATTGGGCGCGGCCATTTTGAACCCTATGACACAGTTTATAACTAAAGAATCAGATCGCTCACTCTGCGTCGGCACTTTTTATCTCAATGTTCCAGTTTATACACTGCGCAACTCAGATAATACAATATATGACAACCGCCTACAATAAAACAGCAGTCTTCTGCGTATCCTGAATTTGTATCCCTGGAGTGGATGTTATTTTGGAACTGTCAACTGGTCCGAGTGAGCTAACTGATTCTTTAGCAATAAACTGTTATTCCAAAAATAATATTCACTGACACTGACAGCAGCAAGCAAAATATCAGGTGCGTCTTAATCATCCGCTTCTGCTTCCGGAATTGTCGGTTCAGTCGTTCTAACCTGTCAGATTAAAACAAGAAAACCGACAATTCCGAAGCAGAAGCGGATGATTAAAACGCACCTATTAAAATATTGCGCCAAGATGTAGGCAACACGTAATAAGGGTTCAAAATGGCGGAGTTTTCTATCTCCTTTTAAAAGGCACTCAGAAAGCTGCGCAGTGCGACCATTCTCCGTATAGTAAAAGAAAATCAAAGTGTGTGATTGGTACTGATTCGTGACAGATAAACTCTTGGTTACCAATTTCTTGACATTCTGAGTCAAATGACATGAAATTTTGCTCGTTTAGGATGAGAAATTTCGAATTTGAAATAATCATTTGGAAAAGGTTGCTTTTAGGAGTAGGTAAAGGGAAAAGTTTAATAAAGTGTTATTGATTAATTTAATATGGTTGATCAAATCTTTAGGATCTATTATTGAATTATGGAAAACAATTATTTTGGAAAATGTGATAGCAGTTTCAATTTTTTCTAGTAAATCGTAAATATTTTGATATAAAATTGATATCTGATTTGTGACTTTTTGAATATAGACACTTTCAAAAGTTTATTTTGAATTTGAGCGGTTTCTAAAATGAATTCTATTTTGTTTATTTGAGATTTTAATTTTAGTTGATTGTGAGTTAAGACTTGTCTACTTTTATTAAATATGTGTAAAGAGTTTTCAACTAAAAGGGTCGGTCTTTTCACCTTCAGATAAAGTCCCAGATAACTAACTGACGGATATATTATCTGAGAGTTACTATCTGTCAGATAATTAATTTTCTGTTTTTTCAAGTAAATAATATGTATGGTAAGAATCCAGTAGTTTTTAACCTTATGTGGTTATGTAGCTACCTTTTTATCCATCAGTGAAGTATTTTATCAGGAATTTCATAAGTAAGTTAAGTTATCATTCAGAAGTTAGGTTTATCCAGAAGTGAAAAGATTACTTTTTAAGTTACCTGGGAGATAAAAATTACCTGGCACTTTATCTGAAGGTGAAAAGACCGACCCTAAGGTAATTTTGCAAAAATGGATAATTAGTTTTATCTGCCATATTCGAATCTGAACTTTCTGAATCTGAAAATTCTGAATCTGATTTTTTTATAGAAGGTAAATTATCTAAGTTTAATGAGGATTCTGTCCTAAGAGTACTATTAAAAATATTCACTAATTTGTCTATCTCAGACATAAAATAAAATAAATTCTCTCAATGATTTAATTTATTCCAAAAATTAAAATTAAAAATCACAAATATATTCAACTCAAGAAATAAAATGTTTAAAATAAAAGGAGAGCAAAATGTCTTACGCAATTCCTAGGATTATTTTCGTTATAGCAACGGGGTCAAGCGTAGCTGTCTGTTCTCCATGATTTTTTTAAAACTAGCTGAATTTGGCGATGTGGTCCTTGTCCAGGTTTTCCAAACTTCGGCAATGTTGGTCCTATGCTTGGCTGTACACTTTTTGTTCAGTTTATTTTACCAATTTTCGCGAATTCGATTTGCCGTTAAACTATTAAAATAGACCGATTTGACACGATTTTTGTTGTCACACCGTTAGGCAATCCTACTGACTGCACCACTTTTAGGTTCGCTAATAAAAATTGGTTTTTTAAAAATATCAAAAACTTTACAAAAAGCGGAACTTTATTGTAGGTCTTAATAATACAAAAGTTAAATTGTAAAAGCTAGAAAATGCCGGCAATGAACTAGTTTTATTGACGCTAGATCTTGATGGGGCTTTATCTTGGACTTGCCGCGTCTGCATAATTCTACTTGTGTTTCCTATGATTGCGTTATCATAACTTACATATATTTTGTGTATCAGTTATTAATATGTTTTAATATTATTTCTTTTAGAGTTTATGGGATCGTTTACAGACTTTGGCAAACTTTCATACATCCATCAACTGGAATTTATAAATAAATTCGGAAAAGCGCAAACAGAAATTATTCTGCAGCATAAAAATATTCAATCTCTAATGAAATCGGACGAAGAATTTGATTTGGTAATACTTTATCATTGGGTTAACGATGCTTTAGCGATATTCGCTCACAAATTTAAATGTCCCTTAGTAATTTTGGCAGCGTGGCCTTCAAGTATAGTCGACAATCATATCTCTGGAAACCCGTCTCCTAGCTCCTTTGTTACCCATATGAGAGCTGAATATGATTCAAATATGAACTTTTGGGAAAGAATTGACAATACTTTTAAGCAAATTGTTGGAGAATTGATGGTGCATTTTAGAATGATCCCTACACAAAATGAGGTCCTAAAAAAGGCGTTTCCCAACGCTCCTGAATTAAGTACTATCATATATAACACTAGCCTTATATTAACACCATTCCACCTAAGTTTAGGAGATCCTATACCTCTTCAACAAAATATTAAAGAAATTGGAGGCTATCACGTGACACCGCCTAAACCCCTGCCAAAAAATGTACAAGATTTTATGGATAGTTCGACTGAAGGTGTAGTGGTTTTCTCGATGGGTTCAAATTTGAAAAGTGACATCTTTGAGACTGATAAAATAAAAACTATTTTGAGTGCATTTTCTAAGATCAAGCAGAAAGTTTTGTGGAAATTCGAAGGCGATCTGCCTGATAAACCACCGAATGTTAAAATTTTGTCATGGTTGCCACAATCTGATGTCTTAGGTAAGTAAAGTAAACGTAATTTATTCTCTTGTTTACTTTTGCGATACGTGTTCATAGCGGCAATCGTTTGTATTGTTGACATCATTAGCGGGTTTCTCCTGTTCTATTTTCCCCAAACCTTTTCCATCATCCATTAACTTTCTCTCAATTGTTTTGTGAAAATATCTGAACAGGGGTTTCCCTCGCTACTATTCTACCTGTGTTTTGGTTTCGCTTCTCTGAATTTTGTTCTTTTTCTTTTGAAGAAAAGTAGATGTAACCAACATTAAAACATTCTCAAAATGTATTTTGCAGCTCATTCCAATACTGTAGCCTTCATTTCCCATGGTGGTCTACTGGGTACCACAGAAGCCGTTTACCATGGAGTACCAATACTTGGTCTTCCCGTATTCTGGGACCAAGTGAAAAATATAGCTGTTGCTGTTAGAAAAGGATATGCTTTAAAAGTCGATTTTTCTAATTTAGATGAACATTCTTTTAGCAGCGCTTTACAAGAAATATTGGATAATCCAAAGTAAGTAAAACTTTTTACTATAGAATACTTTTCAAGGTGAAAATTTTTTGAGAACAAAATCCTCCCGAAATACCACTGGATTGATTTGCATAATTTGTAAGGAAAAATTCTTACTTCGGTGGTATTTGAAAAGAATATTTAACAATATGAAGTATGCTCCTTATTCTTGTTTTAAGTACAATTTAATGTTACTTTTATTTGTTTACAAAAAATAATAATATTAAATTAATATTTGAACAACCAAAACAATTTTGGACAACGTTTCGTCATCTTTTTGACAAACTTCACATTGATGTTTCGCATACACGTTACTTTGGCAATAAATTGAATTTTTAAATTTTTAAAAAAGACAGCATCATATAATGTGTTTGATGTGAGTTGTTATTTATTTATTATAATTATTGATCTTATCAGTTTTCAGATAGAGTTTGTTTTGGTTGGCGTCTGTTGATAAAAGATGATTTATGTTGATTGATGTATTGTATGTTTTCTTCTTATTATAATTGGTTTCTACTTTGTCAGAATTTAAAAATTTAAAAATTATTTGACTGGACTCTGATGTTTTGCTTTTTATTTTCATTTATTAGAAATAATTTGTGTTTCTGTATTTTTTCTATATTTTTGTTATTTGTTTTTATAGATATAGAAATACTGCCAAGGAACGTTCTACAATTATGCATGATCAACCAATGAAACAATTAGATAAAGCAATGTTTTGGATTGAATATGTTATTCGTCACAAAGGAGCGACACATTTGAGATCATCAGCTTTAAATCTTCGTTGGTACCAACTGTACCTTTTAGATATTATTATTTTTGTTGTTTTTCTAATTAGTATATTTTTAACTAGTTTTTATTTGTTAATTACCTGTGTTTTTAGAAAAAATTATTTTATTAGTAGCGATAAGAAAAACAAATAAAATTTTAAATTTATTTAAAGTCCAGTAGCAATTACTTAGTTAAAGTTTTTACACACATTTTTGAGAAAACAGAAAAATAAAAATCTAGAAGATATGTTGTACTGCGGAAAATGTTATTTATTTATTTTTATTTATTTACTACGCCACTGAACAAAATATTATATCAATAATGAATTAATTAATTAATTAAGGAACAGTTACTATGAATGCGAGTTATATATTGAGAATATAATAGACTCTTTTATACATTATCTTTGATTAATAATCAGTTTTACTTTATAAATAGGAGTAGAACCTTATTATTGTTGTTATTTGTTATTTGAAGCCGTTAATTGAAGTAGCTTTAGTACAGATATCCATTTTAAATAATTTTAAAACAATGAAAACAAAAAACAAGGACAACGACAATATCGCTTAGCAAGAGATGAACACATGCGACGGATTATACGTCACAAGCGGGGCGCTGTCCCATGGCACAGATTACCTAGACCAGATATAGTCCTTCCATTATCAATTGCAGAACACAGTTATGTGGGGAATCATCAATATTTAATATATACGCACGGTACTCATGCCAAATTAAGAAACGAAAAATAATGTTTACTCCCCTTATACAAAGCGGTAAATATTAAACGAACCATCAGTTGTTTACCAATGAAAACATCGAATCGTAAACGTAAATGCACTGTATTGGCCGAAGGTTCACGGAAGGCAGGTGTTCGAAAATATTCCTGGAAGACAGTCTGCGATATCAGTGGAGTACTATCGTGCGGTGTGTTTTGTATGTGTGGTTGGTTTAATTTAAATTTCTGTTAATAAATATAAATATGGCGTTCTTTAGACCATGGACGAATGAAGAAAATGAAATTGCACAGTGTAGTGAGATTAAAGACAGGTATGACTTTAACGATAAGGATTTAGATATACAAACACAACAAGTTATTTTAAATATATTAGAATGTTTAAAAAAGGAAAATATTCAGCAGTCTGATAATGCGTTCATAATAACAATTGCTGAATTAACTAAAGTAAATAAATTTTCCGTTTATCCGGTAGTCACGAAAGGGGTTGCTGTGGATTATTCATAAAACCGAAAAACATGTAAAGAAAAACTGAAATCAGTTGACAGAGCTACCCAAGATTTTATACGAAGGACAATTTATAGTTTATATAAGGAGAACAGGGTTCCGACATTGGAAGTAATACAGCAACAGGTGGCAGATTTTCCAGGATACACTTATACCAGTTTGGAAACATTGCGTCAAGTTTTGTCAGCATGTGGTTTTAAACACAAAAAATTGAATAAACAGATGGCAATCACCGAACCGTCAAGGATAGTTCAATGGCGACAAGATTATTTGCGTCAGATAAAAGGCTACAGAAGTTCTAATAGACACATAATTTATCTAGATGAAACATGGTTTGACAGTCACGATGTAGTAAATTTCGGTTGGGTTGGCAGTAGTAAAAATTGCTGTTTGAATGGGCCATGTTCTAAAGGGAAACGCATTATAATAGTACATGCTGGAAGCAAAGACGGTTTCGTGCCTAATGCTTTATTATTATCTGCTAAACAAATTAAAAACTGTGCAGCTGATTATCATGAAGATATGTCAGCAGAATTATTTGAAAAACGGTTTAACGAACAGCTTTTACCTTACATTCCACCACAGTCAGTAATCATTATGAACAACGCATCCTACCACTCGCGGCAACTCCTTAAAATACCAAATAGTAGCAGTAAAAAAGCTCAAATTTTAGCTTTTATGTCTGAAAAAAATATTCCTATTCCTGCCAGTGATAGTAAAAAAGAACCAACAAACAAAGAATTGCTTACTATTATTAAAGGTATACAGTTAGAAAAAATGTATTATATTGACAAGCTGTGCAAACTCTTCTCAGACTACCTCCCTACTATTGCATATTTAACCCTATAGAGTTAATATTGGCAAACTTAAAATCAGAATAACGAAAATGTAATCAGTCTCCAAAACTGAGTAAAGAAGTTATAGAACTCGTAAAGAAAGTTCTAGCAGCAGACCGCCAAGAGCTTTGAAAAAACTGTGTTGAACATGATATCAAAGAAGTAGATGAGTACAGTTCATCAAATTTCTAGAGGCTTTCGACGGCTAGACAGAGAAAGCACTACTGACAGGCATCCCGATGGATTTACGCAATGAAAGTACACTCTGCGCATCAAGTATTTCACTATTTCATTCAGACGTAAATGTCAGATGTAAATTTCGCTAAAACATTTCTTTTATTTTCGTTTGTGTTTTTTGCTCATTACAGTTTAATAGAACCTAAGTATGGAGTTTAATAGCAAATTAAGAGGCCGCGTGATTAACAGTCAATCTTGCGAAATAATAGCCAATGTTATAGAGTTTATGAGAAGAGAAGGAAACTTTAATTCACCTTCAATACCATTTAAAAATGTAAATGATCGTGTTGCTGCAGCCACAGGAGTATCTAAAAACACTGTCGTCCGCATTTCTGGAGAGAAAAAAAGAATCGATAACCGTGAGATATCGGAATTTTCATCACCAAGAAAAACCATTAAAAAACCAAAAACAGTTAATGATATAGATGAAGCTGAACAAGAATCAAATTTTATTTTTTTATTATTAGATAGCTATTTTTGTTTCTGAGTTGTGTTCATTTACAGGCTCAATTTTTTTCCGTTTCTCCTTTTTGATTTTATATGGGGTTTCAAGTTGTTTTTGACTTATTTCGACGTAAATCACAACAACACACTTTTTTAATAAAGCAAACAAGTGTTAAGAGGTATATGTACGTGTAAACTACAATTACAAAAAATTGATATGAAACACATGCAACCACCAACAAAAATGTAAAGCTAGCTTCCGTACTAGAACATGGTGTCATTCGTCGAGATAATTTATCGTTTTGTTTAATAGATCAAGAAATGTAAATATTTCCCTGTTATTTTTTATAAAATTATAAGAGAAATAAATTTTTTTCTAAATAGTATAGTTTATTATTTTGTAGAAAAACAAAATTTCGAAAATTTTAGTAATGTTTCAGAAACAACCGTTATTAATAATAGGTACCATTTTCCTTAATAAGGTAGAAATAAAATATAAACTATTTCCACGATTTACAAAGGCCTACAAAAAAATTATAGGTATTTTCCGCTATCCTATAAAATTTATATTTTCTGACTCAATTTCAAAAGGTTGAAGGAATTCCAAAACACCTTTTATGGCATAATAATTATTTTCAATTCTACATACTATCTTTAGCTGCTTTTAAAAACGTTCTAAGAAAGTCCAATCAGACCAATTTAATCCCTAAACTATTCCACACTTTTAAAATTTAATTACCTAAAAATATTAAAAACTATTTAAAATAACTTGTTTAGCAGACTGTACAATAGCTATCTTAGTCACACGTAGCGCGTTCTCTGTCTGGGCGTCGAACACCTCTAGAAATTTGATAAACTGTAATTAGTATTACCCTCTTTACAACCCATCATAATTCAACCAAATAATGACTCTAGTTCAGAGGATTCAGACTGCCATGATTATTTATAAAGATACTTTAGAATTGAATTGTTTTTTTTTCTTTTGTTTTATTTGCAAAGAATTTATTTTCCTTTATGGTTTTTTCTTTGAAATTTCGTTTTCCAGAAAAAGAACGAATGGGGTACAAAAAGGGTTCAGTTCACGTCTGGTACCCTGTTTAAACCAAACGCCCTTACAGGCAGGTACACTTTACTCGCTTTTTTACGTTTTATAATTTAATATTCAGTTGTAGCAAGTTAACGAGCTATAATGATTTTTTTAAGTCCGAGTAAGATTACAATTAAGTGCATCTGTCTAAATAAGGGCGTATAATAACGTCCAATTTATAATTATTCGATTTCCTTTTAACGAATACTTTCTTGCATATGATATATATTAAAAGTATTAATAAAATAAATTTATAAAATGAGGTAGGTATCTACGCCTATGGCAGATCAAACAAAATTGTCGGTAAAGGTTCCGAACGAGTTTTTATGATCTGCAATTGATAATGGAAAAACTATACGTATGTACGCAGCGGCATCTTTACCGGCTCCCTCACAAAGGCGATGAGGTGCGCTTTTGTTGGACCATGATAATAATTTATTTATTGTGATTACGAAAAAACGTTAGTTGGACCATTGGAATAGTTAAGAAATAAAACTACAAAGAAAAATAACTTTTTTTTTATAAAGCAGTCAAAAATATGATGAAAAAAAATCAATAATATTTATAAATGGGACAAAATTTTAATTTTTCTTTTGGTTTTGTCTGACTTTTTCGAGGATTTCAAATCTCTGTTTGCATATTTGAGAGTATAAAAAATCTTATAAATAATTTAATGGTGTACATTTTCGCAAATTGTTGGCAAGGATGACCAAATTCTATTTTGCTCATCGCAAAAAGGTATGCGTTGGAAATTCCAGGCTTAGTTGACAAACTATCAAATAGAGATATAAGTATTTTTTCTAATTTGAAAATATAAAAGAGAAATTTTTCGCTGGGAGATTTTTAATTGCCAAACACCTTTTCTTCAGAGTCGTAGGCTTTAAAAATGCGTTAACAAGTTAGAATTGTTAAGTAAATTACATTCTTCTGAGAAATTTACGCAAATTTTGCAAGAGTGGATATGTAATGATTTTTTGATTAAATAGTCACATACATAGTTAAATGCATTTTGAGTGGTCACATTTAGCTCCCTGTAGAGAGAGAGAGATATGCTTTATTGTCGTAAAAACATTTACAAAAATTTTATAGACAAAACGTGTAACTTAAATACTAAACATATTATAAAAATAACTAAACAGCAGAAAAAACAAACAGAAACAAACAGACAAAATAGGAATAACAATTGCAATGGATATGCAATATCCGTCATTATAATGGGCCCGTTCACTTTTATTTTTGAATGTGAATTATTTATATATTTATAAAGATATTAAACTCTTTTGTCTGGTGGTACTTTTCCCGTTAAGA